TTTTTATGGTGTTAGGTCTTATGTTTAAGTCTTTAATCCATCTGGAGTTAATTTTAGTGTAAGGTGTCAGGAAGGGATCCAGTTTCTGCTTTCTGCACATGGCTAGCCAGCTTTCCCAACACCATTTATTGAACAGGGAATCCTTTCCCCATTGCTTGTTTTTGTCTGGTTTGTCAAAGATCAGATGGTTGTAGATATGTTGTGTTGCCTCCGAGACCTCTGTTCTGTTCCATTGGTCTATATCTCTGTTTTGGTACCAGTACCATGCTGTTTTGATTACTGTAGCCTTGTAGTATAGTTTGAATTCCGGTAGTGTGATGCCCCCCGCTTTGTTCTTTTTGCTTAGAATTGACTTGGCTATGCGGGCTCTCTTTTGGTTCCATATGAAGTTTAAGGTGGTTTTTTCCAGTTCTGCGAAGAAGGTCATTGGTAGCTTGATGGGGATAGCATTGAATCTGTAAATTACTTTGGGCAGTATGGCCATTTTCACGATATTGATTCTTCCTAACCATGAACATGGAATGTTTCTCCATCTGTTTGTGTCCTCTCTTATTTCGTTGAGCAGTGGCTTGTAGTTCTCCTTGAAGAGGTCCTTTACATTCCTTGTTAGTTGTATTCCTAGGTATTTTATTCTCTTTGTGGCAATTGTGAATGGAAGTTTGTTCTTGATTTGGCTCTCTTTAAGTCTGGTATTGGTGTATAGGAATGCATGTGATTTTTGCACATTGATTTTGTATCCTGAGACTTTGCTGAACTTGCTTATCAGTTTCAGGAGGTTTGGGGCTGAGATGATGGGGTCTTCTAGATATACAATCATGTCGTCTGCAAATAAAGACAATTTGACTTCCTCCTTTCCTATTTGAATGCCCTTTACTTCTTTTTCTTGCCTGATTGCTCTGGCTAGAACTTCTAATACTATATTGAATAGCAGTGGTGAGAGTGGGCATCCTTGTCTGGTGCCACATTTCAAGGGGAATGCTTCCAGTTTTTGCCCATTCAGTATGATATTGGCTGTTGGTTTGTCATAAATAGCTTTTATTATTTTGAGATATGTTCCATCGATACCTAGCTTATTGAGTGTTTTTAGCATAAAGGGCTGTTGAATTTTGTCAAAGGCCTTCTCTGCATCAATTGAGATAATCATGTGGTTTTTGTCTTTGGTTCTGTTTATGTGGTGAATTACGTTTATAGACTTGCATATGTTGAACCAGCCTTGCATCCCCGGGATGAAGCCTACTTGATCATGGTGGATAAGCTTTTTGATGTGCTGTTGCAATCGGCTTGTCAGTATTTTATTGAAGATTTTTGCATCTATGTTCATCATGGATATTGGCCTGTAGTTTTCTTTTCTTGTTGAGTCTCTGTCGGGTTTTGGAATCAGGATGATGTTGGTGTCATAAAATGATTTGGGAAGAATTCCCTCTTTTTGTATTGTTTGGAATAGTTTCAGAAGAAATGGTACCAGCTCCTCTTTGTATGTCTGGTAGAATTCAGCTGTGAACCCATCTGGACCTGGGCTTTTTTTGGGTGGTAAGCTCTTAATTGCTGCCTCAACTTCAGACCTTGTTATGGGTCTGTTCAGGGTTTCGGCTTCTTCCTGGTTTAGGCTTGGGAGGAGGCAAGTGTCCAGGAATTTATCCATTTCTTCCAGGTTTATTAGTTTGTGTGCATAGAGTTGTTTGTAATAATCTCTGATGATGGTTTGAATTTCTGTGGAATCTGTGGTGATATCCCCTTTATCGTTTTTTATTGCATCAATTTGGTTATTCTCTCTTTTCTTTTTTATTAATCTGGCTAGTGGTCTATTTTGTTGATCTTTTCAAAAAACCAGCTCCTGGATTTATTGATTTTTTGAAGGGTTTTTTGTGTCTCTATCTCCTTCAGTTCTGCTCTGATCTTAGCTATTTCTTGTCTTCTGCTAGACTTTGAGTTTTTTAGATCTTGCTCCTCTAACTCTTTCAGTTTTGACGATAGGGTGTCAATTTTTGATCTCTCCTTGCTTCTCATGTGGGCACTTATTGCTATATATTTTCCTCTAGAGACTGCTTTAAATGTGTCCCAGAGATTCTGGTATGTTGTGTCTTCATTCTCGTAGGTTTTGAAGAACATCTTTATTTCTGCCTTCATTTCATTGTTTATCCAGTCAACATTCAAGAGCAAGTTGTTCAGTTTCCATGAAGCTGTGCGGTTCTGAATTAGTTTTTGAATTCTGAGTTCTAACTTGATTGCACTGTGGTCTGAGAGACTGTTTGTTACGATTTCCATTCTTTTACATTTGCTGAGGAGTGATTTACTCCCAATTATGTGGTCAATTTTAGAGTAGGTGTGATGTGGTGCTGAGAAGAATGTATATTCTGTGGCTTTGGGGTGGAGAGTTCTGTAAATGTCTATTAGGTTTGCTTGGTCCAGGTCTGAGTTCAAGTCCTGGATATCCTTGTTAATTTTCTGTCTGGTTGATCTGTCTAATGTTGACAATGGGGTGTTAAAGTCTCCCACTATTATTGTGTGGGAGTCTAAGTCTCTTTGTAAGTCATTAAGAACTTGCCTTATGTATCTGGGTGCTCCTGTATTGGGTGCATATATATTTAGGATCGTTAGCTCTTCTTGTTGCATTGATCCTTTTACCATTATGTAATGTCCCTCTTTGTCTCTTATGATCTTTGTTGCTTTAAAGTCTAATTTATCAGAGATGAGAATTGCAACTCCTGCTTTTTTTTGCTCTCCATTTGCTTGGTAAATCTTCCTCCATCCCTTTATTTTGAGCCTTTGTGTATCCTTGCATGTGAGATGGGTTTCCTGGATACAGCACACTGATGGGTTTTGGCTTTTTATCCAATTTGCCAGTCTGTGTCTTTTGATTGGGGCATTTAGTCCATTTACATTTAGGGTTAATATTGTTATGTGTGAATTTGATACTGCCATTTTGGTGCTAGCTGGCTGTTTTGCCCTTTAGTTGAGCTGGTACTTATTGTTCCTTTATATGTGTAGAGCCTCTTTCAGGAGTTCTTGTAGAGCTGGCCTGGTGGTGACGAAATCTCTGAGTACTTGCATGTTCCCAAAGGATTTTATTTTTCCTTCACTTATGAAGCTTAGTTTGGCTGGATAGGAGATTCTGGGTTGAAAGTTCTTTTCTTTAAGGATGTTGAATATTGGCCCCCATTCTCTTCTGGCTTGTAGGGTTTCTGCTGAGAGATCTGCTGTGAGTCTGATGGGCTTCCCTTTATGGGTAACCCGACCTTTCTCTCTGGCTGCCCTTAGTATTTTCTCCTTCATTTCGACCCTGGTGAATCTGACGATTATGTGCCTTGGGGTTGCTCTTCTTGACGAATATCAAAGGGATTTTTCTTTGCTCTTGCTCCACTATCTTTCTAGTGCCTGTTTTTTTTTTTTGAGACAGCATTTCGCTCGTCACCTAGGCTGGAGTGCAATGGCACAATATCGGCTCACCACAACCTCCGCCTCCTGAGTTCAAGCGATTCTCCTGCCTCAGCCTCCCAAGTATCTGGGACTACAGGCATGTACCACCACATCTGGCTAATTTTTATATTTTCAGTAGAGATGGGCTTTCGCCATGTTGGTCAAGCTGGTCTTAAACTCCTGACCTCAGGTGATCCAACCACCTCCACCTCCCAAAGTGCTGGGATTACAGGCATGAGCCACTGCACCTGGCCCAAATTTTGTATTTTTAGTAGAGATGAGTTTTGCCGTGTTAGTCAGGGTGATCTCAAACTCCTGGCCTCAAGTGATCTGCCCACCTCAGCCTCCCAAAGTGCTAGAATTACAGGCATAAACCACCACACCTGGCCTAAATAGTTAATTATATATTCATCCCCTCCTCTCCTAGATCATAACAGCCTCAAGAACAAGGCTTTATTAGAGATAGCTTCCCAAACATAGTTCCTAACACATCCAGCGTGGTGCACTGTACATAATAGACATCCAATTGATTAATTCAGCCTTCAACAAATCTCTCCTACTAAGAGTCTAACACTACTCAGAGAAAAAAAAGATATGAAACAGCATTTATTCCTAAAGATAATTCCCTATCAATTAGCAGGATATGACATGAAGAAGACACTAAATATTGTACATACAACACACAGATTCAGGAACAAAAGATTTTGCACACCACTTATTATTTCTCAAAAACTAATTCCTAACATGGAGACACTTAGCCCAAAGCTTATTTGTTAAACTGTTCATTAAACTGGTCATGATGAGAGAGCAGTATTCTGAAAACATGATTTAGCAATAATTTTAGGGACATCTTATGAGCACATAATGTCAATCTCAAACTCATCTCGCAAACAGGAGTGCATAAACATTCCTGTGACACAGTCTAGAGAGAATTTCCAGAAATAAGACTAGTGTTGTACTCTTACCTCTACCCTAAAAATGCAGGAGGGTACAGGCTATCCAAAAGACATCAAGCAAATACCTGAAAGACCTCTGGGGAAGTTTACGCTTTTACTCATGCATGCACCAAGAAAGGAAACCTAGGCTAGGCAGATATGTGTAAGCTGCCCAGCAACGAGGCCAGGTCTGATTCTTCTTAGAATTCACAGTACCTAGGACACTCCTTGGTACACAATGGGTGACCAATACATAAAATTTACCATTTTAACTATTTTTAAATGTACAATTCAACGACATTAAGCACATTCACATTATTGTGCGACCATCACTACTATCCATCTCTGTAACTTCTTCATCATCCCACAACTGAAACTCTGTACTCTTTACACAATAACTCCCCATTTCCCCTCTCCACAGCCCCTGGTAACCATTAATCTACTTTCTGTTTCTGTGAATCTGACTACTCTAGATCTTATATAGGTAGAATCATACACTAAACAACTTTTTTCAAGATGGCTGGGCTCTACTGATGGCTGGCAGTTATAGTTGTTCTACAAGTCTATTAAGGGCAATGAACTTTCAGGTTGTTAATGGCACCTCCTATAAGAGACACTGAAATAACAAAATAATTCATATGTAATTACCAGTATAGTCATCAAAGTTGACTCTTCCTCTCATTGTGTTCACGACAGACTCTGGCTGCTCAAATATTTCCTTCTGCATAAATGAACTGAAGTTGCCTACAGTAATAGAAATTATATAATTAAAACAAAAACAAAGAATAAGAAAGAATTTGTACACAACTAAAAGTCTCTCTCCTTTAATATAATCTTGGTAAATTAAATATAATAAAAGGTCATGCAATAGAGAAAAGCATTTATATATGACTATATGACTGCCTAAAAGATTGGGTGAACATATTTTACTCCTATGTGGGAAAAAAATAAGAACAGAGTAAAAGTCACTTTTAATTAACTTCATACTTGAAATGTGCAGTTAAAACAAGAGAATGAGACAAGCATTTGTTTTGTTGTTTTTTTTTTTTTTTTTTTTTTTTTGGCCGGAGTTCTACTCTGTCATCCAGGCTAGAGTGCAATGGTACGATCTTGGCTCACTACAACCTCCACCTCCTGGGTTCAAGGGATTCTCCAGCCTCAGCCTCCTGAGTAGCTGGGACTACAGGCATGTGCCACCATGCCCAGCTAATTTTTTGTATTTTTAGTAGAGACAGGGTTTTGCCATATTGGTCAGGGTGGTCTCGAACTCCTGACCTCATTATCCACCTGCCTCAGCCTCCCAAAGGGCTGGGATTTACAGGCGTGACCCACCACCCCCAGCCAAATGAGACAAGCTTTAAGTTCTAGAGTGCAACTTACATTCAAATTGTAGTTCTATCCTTTACTATCTAATCTATAAAATAAGAGAGCAGTTACTTCACACTGTGGATTAATAAAGCAGAGAATTTGACATATAGCAGAGTTAGGCAATAAATGTTATTTCTTTTTTTTTTTTTTTTTTGAGACAAGGTCTCACTCTGTCACCGAGGCTGAAGTGCAGTGGCACAGTCACTGCTCACTGCAGCCTTGATCTCCTAGGCTCAAGCAATCCTCATACCTCAGCCACCTGAGTAGCTGGCACTACAGGGGAACACTACCATGCCCGGCTCTTTTTTTTTTTTTTTTTTTTTTTTTTAGGGGGGACAGAGTCTTTTATTGTCACACAAGCTGGAGTGCAATGGCACGATTTTGCCTCACTGCAACCTCTGCCTCTTGGGTTCAAGCGACTCTTCCACCTCAGCCTCCCCATTAGCTGGGACTATAGGCACGTGCCATCATGCCCATAATTATTTTTTTGTATTTTCAGTAGAAACAGGATTTTGCCATGTTGCCCAGGCTGGTCTCAAACTCCTGAGTTCAAGTGATCCTCTCACGTTGGTCTCCCTAAGTGCTGGGATAACAGGTATGAGCCACCATGCCTGGCCAATGTTAGTTTTTATTCCTATCACAATCCTATCAGAAAGGAAGAAAATTAAAAATCCAAATCGTAACAACAATAATAGTTAACAGAAGCAAATATCACATAGGACTAGGTGTGTCAGGCACTATTTTAAGAGCTTTATACATAATTGTTGTTGTTTTTTTTTTTTGAGATGGAGTTTCGCTCTTGTTGCCCAGGCTGGAGTGCAATGGCGCAATCTTGGCTCACCACAATCCCTGCCTCCCAGGTTCAAGTGATTCTGCTGCCTCAGCCTGGGATTACAGGCATGCGCCACCACGCCCAGCTAATTTTTGTATTTTTAGTACAGACGGAGTTTCTCCATGTTGGTTAGGCTGGTCTGGAACTCCCCACCTCAGGTGATCAGCCTGCCTCAGCCTCCCAAAGTGCTGGGATAACAGGCATGAGTCACTGCACCTGGCCATATAATAGCTTCTTAATCCTCAAAACAACCTTAATGAGGTAGGCTCTATTATCCCCATGTTATATGTAAGAAAACTAAATCACAAAGACAATAAAAAGGAACAGAACATGAACTATATTTATGTTTATAAAGTATCTTTAAAGTATCAAGTGTTGGCCGGGCGCAGTGGCTCACACCTGTAATACCAGCACTTTGGGAGGCCACAGCGGGTGGATCACCTGAGGTCAGGAGTTCCAGACCAGCGCGGCCAACATGGGCAAACCCATCTCTAAAAAAAATAAAAAATAAAAATAAAAATAAAGTATCAAGTGCTAATAATCTCTTTTTCATGTTAGAAATAACAAATCTTTAGTGTGAAGACAACTGTAAAACTAGCAAACAATTTCTCTAAAGAATCATCCCTTTTCCTAGAGTTGTCCCTTCACTATTCACTAATCATGTGGAAGATTCTACTCATCATTCATTATTAGATTCAATATGCTAGGAAAATAAGTAGAATATATTCAGTTTTTGTCTATAACATGACAAAAGCTTTTACCCTTCATGATCTGCTGGAGTTCCATCTGGAGTGTTTGCACAGCTCGTCCAGGGTGATCTCCTGCAGTTCGTTTAATTCGATGGATAGAAAGACGTCCATCCACTACTGCTGCAACATCATCATCTTCTAGAAAGATGACACGATTGGTGTGTTCTATGACAGCACTATAAAATTTTCAAGGAGATATTACAATCAATAACCAAAGATCATTATTACAAATGAAACTATCATTTGGATACGAGAACCAAATTTCAATATAAACTCTATTACTCTGCAGTATATCAGAGAACTTTCTGGTTACTAATGCCATCCCCTATGGAAAGTATGGGGAAGGCAGTCACTGCAGAAAAAAAATAAAAGGATCTCTGCACAGCAACCTAAACCAAACAGATGGGATCAGAAAGCACGGTTATTTCCTCCTCATTCTATCCATCACTAAATCCTGAAATTTTAACTTCCAAATATTCTCAAAGCTTCTATGTCCACCAGAAAATTCAAGTTCCCATCGGCTCCCTGGCTGGACTACTGCAGCAACCTCCCAATTTGTCCAACCACTTTCTCTCTTAATCTCTCTCCATCCATTCTCCATTTCTGCCAAAGTTGATATTAAAAGGCAACAGCTCTAATAAAGATTTCTCCTTCACTCAACAAATCATCTGACAGATTCCCTTTGGTTCTTAGAGAGACAACAAAGTGCCTTACCATAATCCCTATGGCTCCTTCTCCAGCTTCCTCTCCCACCAAGCTTCCTCTCACTCTCTATTACAGCCACACTCATAGTCATCCTGAACTCTCACAGGCTGAGCCATTCACAAAGAATGAATGTTCCTCCCTCTACCTCTTCACCTAATTAATTCCTGATCTCTCCTTAACTCTCAGTTCAAACATCGTTCCCTTAAAGAAATTTACCCACCGGAGGGTAAATCTCTCTGTTACTCGCATTCTGGAGCTCTTGTCACAGTTGGAATTCTACACTTGTATGATTGTTGTTTAAAATTTGCCTCCTTATTAACGAAGAGCTCCTTAAGGACAACTAATATTTTTATTTTTACTCACCATTATCTCCTGAGGCTACCATATGGCTTTACTCAGAGTGTTCAATATGAATATATAAATGAATGAGAAAAGGCTGATACGTTTCTGCAATTCCAATGTATTTAAGCCATAACTGTCAACTGTGTAATCTTACATATCTTAGCCCTGACTACACACCTGTAAAAATATTAAAGAGTGAAGCTTGTTTTCCCACTGAGATAATACATTCCCTGATGTCCTAAATGGCAGTATTTTCTCATTTTTATTATTTTCTCTTATTTTCAGGCACAGGGAATGACTCGAATACTTGTTTGCAATTTGGGTGATTTTATTTTATCCTCATTACTATTTCATTTATAAATGCATTTAAACATCCCCCTGCATTTTCCCTCAATATGTCTTAGTCTACTACTATCCCTTTATAAAAGTGATTATACTGCAATTAATTCTAAATGTAAAAGATAAGTATCTACATTACAATAAAACTAAAATAGTTTAGCAACTATGCTATAATGACTGGGATACTAACTAAGCCATTTTACTCTCTAATCTAGAATCTCCTCCCTACAAAACCTAGATAAGGCTCCTGAAATAAGGAAAAAATGTAAGACCTCTAAAATACACTGCAACAAGTCTCAGGGAGTATTCTCTCAAGTGTTCTTGATAAACTGACCTACATGCTTTGAAATGAGAGAAAAAGTGTCCTTGTAGCCCCATCTCCAAAATGGTCATCTATATTTCTTTAATTAAAAATGTTCCCTCACAGAGCACAACTAGACTAATACACAATGACTTCTTGGTTTCCTGTAGCATGACAAGTTTTACTAAAAATCTCTTTGAATCAACCAAGGAAGCTCACCTTGCATCAGAAGCAAAGTAATATTCCACTGCTTTTTCTTCCACTGGGAAAAGGCAAGTTGTGCTGTCCACACGAGAGAGATTACAGCTTCCCTTCTTGTCTTTGCCTAAAGCATATAGTTAACATGAATTGGCAAACATGTAGAAAATCATGTCCAATGTAGAAATATGCATAATTTTCTAAAAAATCCTAAAAAACCATAGCAACACAAAACAATTTTAGCAAATTTAAAAAGCCAGGTAGATCACCTTATTTCCATGCAATAAGCCAATAAAAACAGAAAAAAAGTGTACAGTGAAGCAGCAACTATCAAAGAGTGTGTGGCAGGTAAAAGTGCTACATTATATGTTTTTTAATATAATATTTCTTTTCCAGGTAGAAGACAAGTAATTCCTTAATATTAATTTTTTAATCAAAAGCATAAATTAATTTTAACTTTATACAAAACTTGATGATCTTAACACATAAAAGCTGAGGACCCATAATTATCACAAAAATTGCATTTAAAATATCAAAATTGTGCAATGAAAATAAAATGAACACAGAGGCTCATGCCTGTAATCCTAGCACTTTGGGAGGCCAAGGCAGATGGATCACTTGAGGTCAGGAGCTCAAGACCAGCCTGGCCAACGTGGTGAAACCCCATCTCTACTAAAAATACAAAAATTAGTTGGGCATGGTGGCAGGCGCCTGTAATCACAGATACTCGGGAGGCTGAGGCAGGAGGATCACTTGAACCCAGGAGGCAGAGGCTGTGGTGAGCCGAGATTGTGCCATTGCACTCCAGCCTAGGCAACAAAGCAAAAACTCTGTCTCCAAAAAAAAAAGAAAAAAGAAAATGAAGGCTAGCAGCAAATTAATTTTTATTATATCATAACAAAACCTCACTAGATTTTAGCAGCAAGTCAGCATAACAAATCAAGTTTTAGTCTCCACTAATTCTGCTTTTAAAACAAAACAAAGATGCATATCACTCTCTAATCATGGTATTATCATATGTGGCACCCACTGTTAGAAATAAAATTTATAAAACAAGAAACTCTCCTTTCTTTAACTTGGGTTTTCTTACATTTCCTTTAAGTCAGGATAAAGCAGGGTCCTTTTGCAAAGCTAATATCCTTTTAATTCTTGTATTTCAGAATTATGATATCTCAATTTGTCAAGACATTAATAACTTTTTTCATCAAGACTGGAATACTAAAGTTTTATAAATTAGCCTAATATAGGAAAAAATCTATTAGTTGAAGACTACATAAATGTCCTAGGGACAAAAATGCACTTTTCTCCAAGGCCAAGACATAACAGAACTTAGAACTATGGAAACAACAGCCAGAGAACATCACAAGTATACTTATAAAAACTGGTATTTTATCTATCCTTTTAAAATGCACATATAAAGACAGACTTAATAATTATTAGAAAAGTATATTCAAATGTGCTGATTATGCTGAGTTGATTATTATACATTTTATACATGTACTGAAATATACCACATCACCAGGATGGGTATGGTGGCTCACGCCTGTAATCCCAACACTTTGGGAGGCCAAGGCGGTTGGATCACCTGAGGTCAGGAGTTCTATACCAGCCTGACCAAAATGGAGAAACCCTGTCTCTGCTAAAAATACAAAGTTAGCTGGACGTGGTGGTGCATGCCTGTAATCCCAGCTACTTGGGAGGCTGAGGCAAGAGAGCTGCTTGAACCCAGGAGGCGGAGGTTGCAGTGAGCCGAGATCATGCCACTGCACTCCAGCTTGGGCAACAAGAGCGAAATTCCATCTCAAAAAAAAAAAAAATGAAATATACTACGCCACATAAATATATATCTATTAAAAATAATAAAAGCCAAAAAAAGTATATTCAAAGTTTTCCACCATCTGTGACTACTTGATGATTTAGCCATGAAAACAAAGTAACTTTTCCCATTCATATTTAACAGCAAAGATGCCAAACTTTAAAAAATAAGTATAAGATGACGTCCAAGAAAAGTTAACACTATAGAAAAATAACATACTAGCGTTTGCCAAGGGCTGGGAATGGGACAAGGGTTGATGACAGAGGACAGCTTGAGGGAACTTTTTAGGTGATGAAATTGTTCTATATCTTGATTGTGGTGGTAGTTATACAACTTCACAGCTGACAAAACTCATAAAACTACATGAAAAAGAGTAAATATTATATGTTTAAAAAACTGAGGCCAGGCACAGTGGCTCATACCTGTAATCCCAGCACTTTGGGAGGCTGAGGCAAGTGGATTACTTGAGGTCAGGAGTTCAAGACCAGCCTGGCCAACATGGTGAAACCCCCTCTCCACTAAAAATACAAAAAATTAGCTGAGTGTGGTGGAACACGCCTGTAGTCCCAGCTACTCCGGAGGCTGAGGTGGGATAATTGCTTGAACCCAGGAGGCAGAGGCTGCAGTTAGCTGAGATCATGCCATTGCACTCCAGCCTGGGTGACAAAGCAAGACTTCATCTCAAAAACAAAAACAAAAAAGTGAATTAAAAAACATGTAAAAAGAGAGCTCAACATTTTAAAAAAATAAATGCAACTACATTTGCTTATAAAATGTCCTAACAGGCTTGAGTTTCACAGTGTTTTTTCCTCCAAATATTGATAATTTCATTCTTCAAATAACAAAGTATATTTAATTAAAATATGTAAAAGAATTTGAGGCCAGGCACAGTGGCTCACGCCTATAATCTCAGCACTTTGGGAGGCTGAGACGGGCAAATCAACTGGGGTCAGGAGGTCGAGACTAGCCTGGCCAGAATGACAAAACCCCATCTCTACCAAAAATACAAAAATTAGCCGGGTGTTGTGGTGTACACTGGTGGTCCCAGCTACTCAGGAGGCTGAGGCATGAGAATCGCTTGAGCCCGGGAGGTGAAGGTTGCAGTGAGCCAAGGTCACGCCACAGAGTGAGACTCTGTTTCAATCAATCAATCAATAAATAAAGTAAAAAAAAAAAAAAAAAAAAATTGAGGTATCAATGTCTGTTTAAATGAAAAGAACACTTCTGGGCTGGGCACAATGGTTCACGCCTATGATACCAACACTTTGGGAGACTGAGCTGGGTAGAGTCCAGGAGTTCAAGAGCAGCCTGTGCAACATAGCAAGACTCCATTTCTACAAAAAATTTACACTTAGCTAGGAGCCACGCACAATGGCCCATTCCTATAATCTCTGTAATTTGGAAGGTTGACGTGGGAGGATCCCTTGAGGCCAAGAGTTTGAGAATAGCCTGGCCAACATAGCGAGACTTCCTCTCTACAAATAAAAAATTAGGTGGGGCTGGTGGCACATGCCTGTGGTCCCAACAGGAGGCTGAGGTGGGAGAATCACTTGAGCCCAGGCAGTCAAGGCTGCAGTGAGCCATGACTGAGCCAGTGCACTCCAGCCTGGCTGAGACAGCAAAACCCTGTCTAAGAATTAGCTGGGCATGATGGCATACACTTGTATTCCCAGCTATTTGAGAAGCTGAGGCAGGAAGATCGCCTGAGCCCAAGAGCTTAAAATTGCAGTGACGTATGACCTCACCACTGCACTACACTCCAGCCTGGGCAACAGAACAAGACCCTGTCTCCTCCAGCTGCTCTGTAAAAAAAGCAATATGGAAAGTTACATCCAAGTAAATAAGTAAGAAAAACAAAAATTAAACTTTACACATAAACAATATAAAAGAACAATCACTACAAATTCAAATAAAGCCAATCAAGATAGCAAATGTAAATCTAACAGTAACATGTCATACATAAAATAAAGGCCATTTAAACATATTTCAGTTAAGTTAGGCTAAACGAGTCAAATAACTACCACTTAGTCACTCTAAAATAACCTAGCACACAATGTTCTTTTCCTAATCTAAGCACATATCCTACATGATTTTAAAACAAAGGAAAAAACAATTTAGAATTTCAACTATTTTCTCAAATTTCAGAAATTTTAATGAAATTATCAAAAGCACTTTTCTAAATGCCAAAAGCAGACACACAAAATATACTCTGCAAATTAGAAAAATGTCAAAATATGCTTCCCCATAAAATAAGCACATTTTTAGAGGCACATTCATTCACTCCAAGAACAAAAGAATTAGTAAAGAAAAAAACAAAAGAGGATAAGATCTTCCCCATCCATGCAGAGTGCATTTCCCACCTCTTTCTCCCTGTGATCCCCACCGTGTGAATTTTGATCCAATCTGAGTCCTAGCTAAGGATACACAACAGAAAAAAATTCTAATCATCAGAGAACTCACAAAAACAAATATTTTTCATATCTAGACAGAACTATATTTACATGTCCATCTGACCAAAACGGCATTTATTACAACTTAAGGAAAATAATTCTTCATAACTACTGCACTCCATTTGTAGAGGAAATTTTACCTGTTCTGTAGAGTATAGGAATGTGATCAGTAGAAAGTTTATGTTCACTCCGTACACCAATCAACAGAGGGCTGCCTCGCCTGTAATTGGAAGAGCAGTCAGAATTAAACCATTTTTATAAAAAATGGACTAATGATATAAAATTTAATGAGCCAATACTCGTCCAATGTTTAAATTCTCCCCCCAAGCTCAAGTTCAGATATTAAAAAGAACTAGATAAACAGAATTTTTTTAAAAACATATTCTGTACTGGGCTAGGTGTAGTGGCTCACACCTGTAATCCCAGAACTTCAGGAGGCCAAGGCAGGCAGAACACTTAAACCCAGGAGTTCAAGACTTGTCTGAGCAACATGGCAAAATCCCATCTCCAAATCAGCCAGGTGTCATGGCACGTGCCCATAGTCTCAGCTACTCAGGAGGCTGAGGTAGGAGAACTGCTTGAGCCTGGAAGATGGAGGCTGCAGTGAGCAAGATCGCACCACTGCTCTCTGGCCTGGGTAACACAGCAAGATCCTATATCAAAAAAAATTTTTTAATTCTGTATCAGGGTCAGCAAACTGACCTGAAGCCCAGGGTTATTTTTATAAATAAAGGGTTTTTGTTTGGTTGGTTTTTTTGAGACCAGCCTTGCTCTGTCTGCCAGGCTGGAGTGCGGTGGCGCAATCACAGCTCACTGCAGCCTTGACCTTCTGGCCTCAAGTGATCCCCTTGCCTCAGCCTCCTCATTAGCTGGGTCTACAAGCACGCACCACCACACCCAGCTAAATTTTTTATTTTTGGTAGAGACGGGGTTTTGCCATGTTGCCCAGGTTGGTCTAGAACTCAATGGATCAAGCAATCTACCTATCTCAGCCTCCCAAAATGCTGGAATTACAGGCATGAGCCACCATGCCAAGCCCTAATACAGGTTTTTTTTTAATTCTTTTATAGTTGACAAATAAAAACTGTATTAAGTACAGTTATTTTGTAACATAGCCATGCCCACTCTTTTACTGATTTTCTGTAGCTGCTTTCACAATACGACCACAAATTAAGTAGTTGCTACATAGGCTACATGGCCCAGAAAGCCTAAAATAGTTACTATCTGGCCCACTCCAAAAAAGTTTGCCAACCCCTGTTCTATAACAGTGTATTTTAATTGTTTTCCTTTGTAATGTGAAATGGAACCTTCCTTTCGATTGTGCACAGAAGGCCAATATAGGAAGGTGTAGCGCCTCCTCCTTAGTCACCCTGTCTTCAGATTAAAAACCATATCTTAGGGTGCCTCACTTAGGACTTCACGATCAAGCCTAAATATCCTAACAAGAAGTAGTGATGGTACAATTATCTAGGAATTTGTCTAGAACATATGTTTCAAAAAATATAGAGAAAGCTAGTATTTTAACTTTATTAGGTAATATTCAATATCCAAATTCACAAAGTAACTCTAATTCTGCCTCACCATCCCGAGTAGCTGGGATTACAGGCATGTGCAATTCTGCCTCAGCCTCCCAAGTAGCTGGGATTACAGGCTTGTGCCACCAAGCCCAACTAATTTTTATATTCTTAGCAGAGACAGAGTTTTGCCATGTTGGCCTGGCTGGTATCAAACTCCTGATCTCAGGTGATGCACCTGCCTCAGCCTCCCAAAATGCTAGGATTATAGGCGTGAGCCACCGTCCCCAGCCTGTATTTGCTTTCTTAAGGGATTCTGGTAAATGGAAGAGTGGTAAAATAACAGACAAGAAGGAGCATGTGAAAATATGGTCACACGAATATATCTAAAAGAGGGCAGAGCCTTTGTAATAAAGGGTCATTTATAGTCTATGAAGAATAAACATGTAACTCAAATATGTTGAAATACATTAGTCACTGTTAGAGTTATATGTACCTTGTACCAACTGCTTGCCCGGGAAAATGAACACTTTTAAACACGAGTGCAAAAGCACCTTCCTATGGAGGGAAAAAAATGTATTAGCAATTTTACTGTAATCAGTTATAAGTCAAAAATGCCTAGAACATACTGGCTTCAGCACAGAAATTTTTGGTTCACACAAACGCTCTTTTGTGCCAGTTTATAAACAAGTCTAAAATTTAAGTAAACACTTACTCCTAAGCTTTGGTGTATCCAAGACCCACTTTTTTAACCAAGCCTACGACCAAAATATGATCAATAGATAACAACTCCAAAAACAGATCATTTAAAAAGTCACCTTTTGTACATGCTATGAACACTTCTCAACCAACAGATCCTATCTCCATTATCCACCTATCTATATTATCATAATACTATGAATTATCAGAGGAAAGACAGAATTAGAAAAGATCTCAAGATCAAAATCTAAAACCTATTCTCTGCCCTAGTACACCACTAGGTGTACCTAATTGTATACCACTGTTAACTTCCACTCTTTCTGACCTTGATATTAAGAGATATAAATAGATACAATTAGAATTATTAACATGCATACAATACAACTCCATCAACCCAAATCCTCAGAGACAGGGCTTACAGGAATCAAGAACAGATAAAAGAGGAACACGAAATAGGAGAGGGAAGAACCACCATGGAACACAAACTGGATTATACAACGAATAAAAGGCAAAATCTATTAGAAAGGAGAAAAGGCTGAAAAGGCACACTACTCCACTCTGCCTTGGGTAAAAGGGAAGGAATAGGGCTCTACATTCTCCATCTTCCTGCTTCCTCTTTTTGCTACAGATATAAAATTTGCATGCAGGTGGGAGCAGGGTGAGGGTTGGACCTTAGTTGGGCATTAAAGTGGGAAAACTAGAGTTATGAGTGGGGAAAAGGGATGTAGGTATCACTATGAATTTAGACTTCTGTAGATCTTTGATATCTTTAATCTTTAATTAGGAATGTTGGATGGAATCAAAAAGAATACTGCTTTTCTCTTGGGCTGGGAAATGCTTTTTAGTAGAGGTTCAGGGCCAAGGAAAAGTCCCCAAAAGGAAAAATAAGTAGCTGAATTAGTTGGCTCACCGACATGCAGGCATCATCCCAGAATTTAAACTGTGTTTCACTGAAGGTATCATTGTGCTAAATTACTGGTTTAGAAGAACACTCGAATGAACAGGAAGCAAGGGGATAACTAATCCTCCATTGTGTGTACTGTGTACATATCCATGTGTGATGTGTATGGATGTGTGTATATATGCATAGTTTTTAGACACACTTTGATTTTGGATTATTTTTCATTCTCATGACATCAAATCAGAATGAAGTAGAATTTTAAGTGGAGAGTAGGGGGAATCAATAAACCAAACAGCGTCTTAAAATTATTCAAGTTGAATAGTTATATGAGAAACAAAAGCCAAAAATACTCAAAAAGAATAGCACAGTTCCTGCTTATCAAACTTAATTTTCAGAAAGTTTCTCATAATTATTGCTGGCATAATTATCTTTAAAAGTGTGGCTTAATACCAGTTGTTGGATAACTCTCTCCACCAAGGTAGTAAAGCTGATATCTTGACTTTCCCGATTGTCATACATGTACTTAACAAGCTTGGCAATTGTCTCTGTGTCTGTTTCAGATTCAAAGTCATAGCCTTTGCTTTCCTGTAAGTAGAAAGAAAAAAAAAGATATAATTAAGAAAATATTCATGACATATAAATCTTTTCTACAAAGTTGTTCCCTCAAAAATGTCACTAATTTCTAATATTTTTTGAACACCATACCCCATTATTCAAAATTAAAGTCACCATCGGACTAGAGTGAATCCAAAACAGTGTGGTACTCTGTGTAACTGAACATACACTTCATTTACTGTCCAATAAAAAAGCCATTAGCTGTATGTGGCTATTTAAATTTAACCAAAATTAAATAAAATTTAAAATTCAGTTCCTCAGTCATACTAGCTCAACAGCCACACATGGACAGTGGCTACTATAGTGAATATATTGCCCAGATACACTATGTCTTCCAACACTGCAGAAAGTTCAATTGAACAACCCTAAGAAAGCACTCATGCAGGTCACCACTATGACCATTATTATACAGTATATATTTAAAACATAACTTTCATTTAGTTTGTCCTGATTCTTCTTATATTAATATATTCTAAGAACTTAAAAACATGAGAGTCTCTCACAATGCAAAAAAGTCTCTACAAAATTCCAATTTTATTTGAGCCTTTTGTCATGTATATTACAGTCAAATACTATTATTTCCTTTTCATATTAAAAAAACAAAATTGTTCTACTGCTAGCAAAGAAAAGTCCAATAAACCACCATGCTCTTGAAATTATCTAAGGAATCACTTGATGACACCTACATGGTGTTGTACATCCTAATAACCAACCTCACTGCTCTTGTTAGAAGTATTCTCAAAGACTGGTGTCTTTTGAGATGACCTTACTTACCAAAAACTTTTTCAAGTCTTTGTAGTTGGTGATGATTCCATTGTGAATAACAATAAATTCTAAAAGAGGTAAAAGTATTGATGACAAAAAAGTCAGAAGTCTGATAAACCTAAAATAGCTATAACTAGATTTTTCTCAAGTCAAAAAAATCTATAATATGCTATACTATTTGTTATTTATAACATGATAATCACATCTACTTCTTGTTACCAGATTATCATCAGGTAGATCAGCAGCATTGTTTATGTGGCATAGCCAAAGCACACAGTGCAGGGGAGGTGGGTATAGTGGGGAAATAAACAGGAAGTCTAGAGATAACAATTGCAGTTGTGGCTAAACTACTAATCAAATGTTACCATGTGAAAGGAGCAAGTTTATTGGGTTTGTTGCCTCATTTGCAAAATGAGAGAGTTGAACTAAGTATTATTCTTATTCATTCATAGTAATTCATTATTGAGTATAAGTTTAAAAAGAAGACCCTTCAAACTGAGTAAAAGTTTAAAGTGAAGGCCTTTCAAACTAAAACAATAATTCGATTTACACTAAATCAGTTTAATAACTAAAACTAAGGAACTTGGTAAGAAAAACCAGACAATCAGTTCTATAGTTAAATTTACTTGTTTGAGATCGAGAGAAGTCATGGAATGTCAGAAAAATAATGTTAAAATATCATTCCAAGAAGAGATAAATATGATTATGGGATAATTTTTATCTTTTTTAAGTTAACTAACTCAAAACTGTAAGAATAGATAATCAAGAGTTGACAATACTATTATTTGTAGCCACTGATGGTACATAAAAACTACCAATCCGGCTGGGCATGGTGGCTCACACCTGTAATCCCAGCACTTTGGGAGGCTGAGGCAGGTGGATAACCTGAGGTCAGGAAGCTCAAGATCATCCTGGCCAACATGGCAAAACCCCATCTCTACTAAAAATACAAAAAATTAGCCGAGCGTGGTGGCATAAGCCTGTAATCCCTGCTACTCGGGAGGCCAAGGCAAGAGAATCACTGGAATCTGGGAAGCAGTGGTTGCAGTGAGCTGAGATCGCGCCACTACACTCCAGCCTGGGCAATAAAAACAAAACAAATAAATAAATGGGGGGGAAAAAAAAAAACCTACCAATCCTGGATTTATTATTTAAAGTTCATTTCAATTAGGAGGGAAATTACTGCTAAATTAAATTTTATTTTAATTATCAAAATATTGTTTTGTTTTGTTTTGTTTTTGAGACAGGAGGTTGCTCTGTTACCAAGCTGGAATACAGTAGTTCGATCATGACTCACTGCAGCCTTGACCTCCTGGGTTCAGGTGATTCTCCCACATCAGCCTTCCAAGAAGCTGGGATTACAGGCATGCATGACCACACTCAACTAATTTTTTTATTTTTCTGTAGAGACAGAGTCTCACTATGTTGCCCAGGCTAGTCTCCTGAGCTGAAGCAATTCTCCCACTTCAATCTTCCAGTGTCTTGGGATTACAGGTATGAGCCACTACGCAAGGCCAAAACGTTTTTGCTTTTTTGAGACAAAGTCCTGCTCTGTCACCCTGACTGGTGTGAAGTGGCACAATCTGGGATCACTGCAACCTCCACCTCCCAAGTTGAAGCAATTCTCCTGGCTCAGCCTCTCAAGTAGCTGGGAATATAGGTGCATGCTACCACACCCTGCTAATTTTTGTATTTTTAATAGAGATGGGGTTTTGCCATGTTGGTCAGGCTGGTCTCAAACTCCTAACTTCAGGTGATCCACATGCCTTAGCCTCCCAAAGTGCTTGGATTACAGGCATGAGCCACCACATCCAGCACCCACAATGTTCTTAATATACATAAATATCTGACATTTTGGCTGACAGTAATTAGAAACCAAATAATAAACATTTTCACTAGATTTTTGAGAAGACAGCAACTAAAAAATAAATTTATAAAAAACTTGCCGGATGTGGTGGCTCATGCCTGTAATCCCAGCACTTTGGGAGGCTGAGACGGGCGGATCACCTGAGGTCAGGAGTTCAAGACCAGTCTGGCCAACATGGTGAAACCTCATCTCTACTAAAAACTTAAAAATTAGGCCGGGCGCAGTGGCTCAAGCCTGTAATCCCAGCACTTTGGGAGGCCGAGGCAGGTGGATCACGAGGTCAAGAGATCGAGACCATCCTGGTCAACATGGTGAAACCCCGTCTCTACTAAAAATACAAAAAATTAGCTGGGCATGGTGGTGCGTGCCCGTAATCCCAGCTACTCAGGAGGCTGAGGCAGGAGAATTGCCTGAACCCAGGAGGCAGAGGTTGCAGTGAGCCGAGATCGCGCCATTGCACTCCAACCTGGGTAACGTGAGTGAAACTCCATCTCCAAAAAAAAAAAAAATTTAAAAATTAGCTAGGCATGGTGGCGTGAGCCTATAATCCCAGCTACTTGGGAAGCTTGAGGCAGAAGAATCACTTGAATCCGGGAGGCAGAGGTTGCAGTGAGCC